GCCAAATTTGACACGAAGCCACACAGGAACACTGAAGATGACCTGAGGAAGTTTATTTGGTATTTGTACTTCAATTGTATCTTTATGTAAAAAGTGACACTAAACTCAGGAGATAAACCTTAAAAATATATTCAAGTACCTTAACTATGAAAAACAATGTATAGTATTTGTGTATCACTCGTTTGTAGATCCTCAAATCATCTCTGAATTGGTGCTGACACTGTCCTTCCTTCTGGAGGGGGGCTACTTTTGTTCCCCATGGTCCCTGTGTGTGCTGTAAAGTAGTCACCGCTCCAAGCTCCCCCCCCGGTATGGACTACAATCACAATACAAATTAGTAAACTAAACGTGAGATTAAAGTCCATCCCGGCAGCGAGCTTGGAGCGGTGACTACTTTACAGCACACACAGGGACCATGGGGAACAAAAGTAGCCCCCCTCCAGAAGGAAGGACAGTGTCAGCACCAATTCAGAGATGATTGGAGGATCTACAGCCGAGTGATACACAAATAAGATACATTTTTGTTAATAGTTAAGGAACTCAAATGTATTTTTAAGAGTTTGTCACTTTAAGAGAGGAAGTATGGTATATTTTTCTCTGGGAAGCATTCAACACTCTTCAGCTACTAGGACACAAGTGTTGCGCAAGATCTCTATAAAGATATCTGCTCTCAGATATGTCACCTAAGTGTAATCTGTTCACAGAACTGTTTGCACTGTGTTTTAGCTCTGGAGTTCCTCTCGCTGCTTGTTTGGGATGTGAGATTCCTCAGTCAGATAGTTCGGTGCCTTCAGAAAAAAAAAAAAAGCATGAATTATTAATTTTTTCTAGTGACAAGCGAGTACGCTGAAGGAATATCTCCCCAGACTTTCCTCTCTGCGGGTCCCGAGCTTAAACAAGTGTGAAAAACAATGTATTGTGCTATCCTCCTGCGAGGGTCCATGTCCCCACGGGGTTAGGATGGGAGATGGACGGCTTGGTTGTGCAGCACCTGCCTCCCGGTTAGGAAACGGGGACAGCTGCAGCCCTGGGTGTTGTCACAGACTTCAAGAGCACTTACTTCTCAGCGAGAAACCAGCTACGGGGGAATGAAGATGTCGAGTAGCCAGGAAATATCAAGGTCAGGGAACAGCAGACAGGCATCCTGTGTAATAGGATTTGGAGTCATATTGAGTTATAGGGAAGGCTAATAAGTTTTAACATGTTGCAATGAAGATGCGGCCTCTGGCTTTCAGCTCCAGAGCTCATGCTGAGGAGTGCAGGGACGTGTCCTTAGCTGTACTCTTATCTTCAATGAAAGTGAATCTGTCATACCCGTAAAAAAAATGTTACTACACTCAGCTTTGAAACATACATTTATGATACTTACCGTTGGTGCCTCCCTTGTAGGGAGGCACCGATACCGATACTAGTATTGGGGCGAATCCAAAGCTTCTAGCACTTTCCCTACTCGCCCAAATGCTCCGATACTTTCCCCGATACGGAACTTCCGGCCAGAGGAAGATTTTCTCTGACTGGCAGTGCCATAGGGGAACATGGAGCCAGCTTCCTAGGCAATCAGGAAGCCGGGTGGCGAGTAATGACCCACCTCCCAGCTTCCTGATTGGCTGGGAAGCCACACATCCATCCACATCCATCCATTTTGTTTTTATTCCTTCATTGTAGGGCTGATAATGATTAAAATGTTCGTGTTCGATTAATCGAAAAAAAATGTAATCGATTAATTTCGATTAATTATAACATTGCAATATGAGTTCATTCACAAGACCAAGTCAAAGCCCCTTCCCTTCCTCCATCACCCATATTGTTTTGAATATTCAAAAATATTTATTTTGGATTAAGCTGGATTGCTACATTGCCTAAATCCATACTATATGTAATTTTTGTAAATTCTAGATTTACCGGGGTGGGTATTTTAACTGCATTCAATATACTGAGAATTAGGTGAGCATTTATTAACAATTCACAAAACCATTCGTTCTACAATCTCAATCAATGTGTGTTTTGTGTGCGAATGGAGGCAAAACCAGAAGTTCTTAGCATATTTTCTCTCCAAGCCGAATGTAATACCTCCAAAATGCTACTAGATGGAACCGAGGAGCATAGGAAATAAATATTTTTTTTTTCCTATGCTCCTCAGTTCCATCTCGTGGCATAATGTGGTATTTTACAGATATTACATTCAGCTTGGAAAGAAAATATGCTAAGAACGTCTGTATGTATATTTCTTTCATGGTCAAATGTAGGGTTGCACAGATACCAAGTACAGTACTCGGTACAAGTACGAGTACAAGTACCGATACTTTTGAGCTCCAAGACTACACTAGAACAATTTTTAAAAATTAGGAGGTGGCTGTCATGTGTAAGGAGCTCACTGAGCTCCCGGGATTCTTACATCTCTGTTTTAATGTATGATTTTGTTTTTAGACATATAAATAAAGGGATGCACAGATACCAGTTTTGCGAGTACAAGGACTGATACTTGCCCAACTACTCACAGATATGAGTACTGATACATTTTTGTTTATTGTCATGTGACAGTTTTTCTAAAACAATGCAGACTAATGATTTCAGGACAGTGGCGGAGCACCAGAGCCCGGTCCCAGCTGCAACCCTGGGTGTTCTCATGAAAATGCCAAGTATCGGCACTGGTACTCGAAAAGTATCTGTGCATCCCTAGTTAAATGTATATTACATTCAACCTGGAAAGAAAATATACTAATAACATTTGTTTATTGCCTCCAATCTCAGAGTGTTCATGGAATTATGCAGCAAGAATGGATCTGCAAGTTGTTTAGAAATACACTCTTTAGTGTTATATCGCTTTAATAGAAATGATATTGTGAGATTATTGATGAGTATAGATATCCCCACCCAACTCCTACTCTCCACCTCCATGACTAGGCCCCTGTTGAGGTGAAACCCATCAGTGGAGAAGGAGCAGAGCCTGGTGAAAAGCTATGTTCTTTGACTTGTTGACTTGTTGTTATGATGAATGCACTCATGTTGCGATAAAGCTCTTTTGAAAAAAAATATATGGTGGATATGTTCTATTTGAATTCAGTATGCGGGGGAAGAGTCAGCTCCCATAGTTGGTGAAGGTGAGCCATAAGAGGACGTGGAGTGCTTTGCTATTTTTGCATTTATTTCCATGTGTTGGATGTTTGTGTGTGGTCTACCCAACCGCTACATCACTAGTGTGTCCCTGCAGCTCCGAAGGCACATGTTCATCACGTACACACTGTGGAAGTGTCGGATGCAGAAGATTGCAGTGACGCATCTAACAAAGCACAGGTTCACTTTAGCCCCTTTGCATAAACCTCAAATGACTTTATAAATGTAGCACTTAAATGAACCCTCAGCCATACACCTCAGGACATATCCATGCTTCTGTGCTTACAGTGCATCTACGTTAGACATGTGCATTCGTATTGGGACGAACTTAGTGAATCACAAGATTCCGTTGATTTGGCAGTTCGTCAAAAATCGAAATAACAAGTTGTTCTACTGTATGTCAGAATATGGGAAAAACTATATTCGAGCATATATTAATTCCCTTTGTATGGGCACCGCCATCATGCTGTGTCCAAGATGGCGGCACCCATACATGCTCCCTGCCTCCAAGATGGCGGCGCACATTCGCAGAAGGTAGCGGTGGCCGAAGTGGCCACCGTGCTTTTTTTTAAAATTTAAATTGTGCACTTTCGGATTCGGAGGCTTGTTGCCTCAGAATCCAAAACAGCATAATTATTTGTTTCATCAAACAAAATTAATGGAAAGGTTTTCCTTTTTCATTTGTTTCATCCAAAATGAATTTTTATCGATGCACATGTCTAATCTACACCCCAAATTTTATTTATTTTTTTACATTTTGGACAGAGTGGGTAAGGATAAGAAGCCCTGTCATGTCACTGCTGTCAGGGACACGGTTAGAAAGATTTCTTCTTACTTCTTTTCCAGCAGACAACATTTTTTTCCAGCCAGGATGTGAGGGAAACTCTACAATAGCATCACAGGCAGAAGTAAACATGCTTTGTATAAGGGAAAGGGGTCGGAGATGGCTGGAAACCTGGTCAGCTTTTTTATTTTCCAGAATATGTATAACTGAACTGCCAGATTTGATTTATCAGTAGTTCATGGTTGAAGAAAGTCATGTCATCAGGTAGTAATCAGGTTCATACAGGGCACAGTGGCTCCAGTGAGGCTGCTGTCAACAGAAACAAGACAAAGAGCTTAGCATCCACATATAAGGAGTCTATTGAGAGCACCGGACCAAAGATCTTTTAAAGGAGAACTATGAAGTCAGGGCTTTTCCCCATAGTTCTCCTTAGGTAATGGGTCGGCTCAGTAGATCGGGAAGTGAGCGAACACATACCGGTGTTCGCTCACTTCTCGATCCTGTCACGGCTCTCTGCCGTGACAGGGGAGGGGCTGGATTCCCCCCTCCCCGCTCCGATCCACCAGCGCTGACTGGCGGAACGGACGGGGGAGGGGGTGGGTACAGCTGGCTCTGCCTCTAGATAACTAGCGTCCTCCCATCACCCTAAGCTCAGTATACCGCGAGCTACAGCTTGCGGTATACTGAGACGCCGCAGCCGGAGCGGATCCCGACATCGATGTCGAGATCCGCCCAGCTGCGTGAGTGACAACGGGCTCTGCCTATCTAGAGGCAGAGCCAGCTGTACCACCCAGTCCGTTCCGCCAGCCAGCGCTGGTGGATCAGAGCGGGGAGGGGGGAATCGAGACCCTCCCCTGTCACGGCAGAGGGCCGTGACAGGATCGAGAGGCGAGCGAACCCGGTATGTGTTCGCTCACTTCCCGATCTACTGAGCCGACTCTCATATAATAATTCTCAATGTGAAGGCAATTTGTGGTATTTCTGCCACATTCGTCAGGCAATTAAAATACAATGTGGTTGAATAATGTGTCTATCTGGAACTGTCTTTGTTGGAAGAAACTCATTGTGTCCTCTCTCTCTCTCTCTCTTTTCATTTCTCCAGGTCTGTAATGGGCTTAGATAAGGAGGCTGACCTTGTCCACATGGAGTCTCAGACAGCTGACAGATGTGAGTGCTTATAGACAAATTATAATGGAAATTTCAGCATTTTACAACGTAAAATCGTATGTTTTTTTTTTTTATACCTAGAATTTGCATTTTAATTGACGGACATGAGGTAGATTGCTCCGTAGCTGACGTGCCTCTAAACTGTTTAAAATGCACCTGTCATCCATTGTGCTTCCGAAGGCCATCGGCCAATGGAGGTACCAGGAGCGCCTTTGTCTTATGAGACAAATACTTGTAGTTCCTCAGCCGCAGCTGACGCAAAGTTGCAGATTTTTCGTGATAACTAGAGACATTTTCAAGTTTTAGAGACCATTGGCGGCCATTAAAGGAAAACTATGGGGTTAAGTCTTTTCCCCATAGTTCTCCTTAGGGTAACGGGAGGACACAAACTAGCGTCCTCCCGTCACCCTAGGCTCAGTATACCGCGAGCTGCAGCTCGCGGTATACTGAGACGCCGCAGCTGAAGTGGATCTCGACAATTGTGCCGGGATCCGCCCAGCTGCGTGACTGACAGCTGGCTCTGCCTATCTAGAGGCAGAGCCAGCTGTACCCGCCCCCTCCCCCATCCGTTACGCCAGTCAGCGCTGGCGGATCGGAGGGGGGAATCCAACCCCTCCCCTTTCACTGCAGAGAGCCGTGTCGAGATCCGCCCAGCTGCGTGAGTGACAGCTGGCTCTGCCTATCTAGAGGCAGAGCCAGCTGTACCGCCCAGTCCGTTCCGCCAGTCAGCGCTGGTCGATCAGAGCGGGGAGGGGGGAATCCAGCCCCTCCCCTGTCACGGCAGAGGGCCGTGACAGGATCGAGAAGTGAGCGAACACCAGTATGTGTTCGCTCACTTTCCGATCTACTGAGCCGACCTGTGACAATCTCATTGTCACAGGTCGGCTAGAACTATGAGGTGAGTGAAAAGCACTCACCTCATAGTTCTCCTTTAACAATGTCTCCTAAAAATATTACTGTACCCGCCCCCTCCCCCGTCCGTTCCGCCAGTCAGCGCTGGCGGATCAGAGCGGGGAGGGGGGAATCCAGCCCCTCCCCTGTCACGGCAGAGAGCCGTGACAGGATCGAGAGGTGAGCAAACGCCGGTATGTGTTCGCTCACCTCCCGATCTACTGAGCCGACCTGTGACGTCACAAATTGTCACAGGTCGGCTAGAACTATGAGGATGAGTGAAAAGCACTCACCTCATAGTTCTCCTTTAAGGAATCGAAGGATATAGCCGTAGCTTCGGCCAATCCTTCGTCTCACTTCGGCCGCTGGAGACCTTCCGTTCAGCTAAAACGAAGGCCTGCTGAACCGTCTGTTCACAATAGCCCGTACAGCAGTCGAAGGCAGCTGAACAGCTCAGCCGAGCCGAAGGCATATGCTGCAGCTCGGCTGAGCCGAAGTCACAGTCGAAGCGGGAAGAGCGGCCTGTCCTCAGGTCATTGTATGACAACCTCGGAGGTAGCAAGCAGAATAACCGAGTCCAAATGCCACTCGGCAGCATTCAGGCATTCACTCACTGCCGTTCGGCCCCTATGAGAATAGGGGTGAACAGCAGCGAGTGAACTGCCGCAGGTTCGGCTCAGCAGATCCAGATGTTGGATCGGCTGAGTCGAACATGTTCTTCACTTCGGCTCAGCTGAACATGCTGAGCATATTTAGCTGAACTGAAGGGAACCGAAGGGATTTAGCTGAACTGAAGGGAACCGAAGCCGGCCGATGTACGTCTGAAATCAGCCGTACTGAGCTGAAGTGAATAGCTGAACGGCGTTGGGCTCACTTCACTTCGGCTCGGTTATTCACTCGGCTGCCTTTGGCAACTTAGTCAATAACCCCCATAATCTTACTTCCTGTTAAGTCTGTAGGACAGGAAATGAAGGGAAATGAAGGGTTTTTAACCCTTTCCTACTCTATCAAAAATTAAAAAAAAAAAATAATAATATTTTGGCTTTAGATATATTTTAAAGCTGCTCAAAGGGAGAGAGAGAAAAATGGGCAGTTGGACATCTCAGAAAAGTAACGGGCAGCGAGACCTCTACCAGTGATTGCTCCAATCACTGAAACAGTAGGACTCTTCATTGAAAGATTGATTTCCTTTTTATACAGAAATTTTTTTCATATTTTCTGTGTCCGGTGACAAGTCCTTTACTCATAAGCACTAGGTATCACCCTTTTATTATATTGGTACTGAATTTCAAAAGTGAACATTTGCTGTGTTATGGTAAAATTTCAGAATGTTAATTGTGTCTAAGCAGTACCCTGAACAATGTACCTTTTGTCTGGAATTCCTCCTGGAAAATAGCAGTGATATGTGAATGTGCCTTGAGCCTCATAGCTGTATATCTGCAGTGCGAGGTTGTCAAAGGCACTGCTGCCTCTGACTGCTACTCTTGAGCGATTTGGAGTGAGATTTGGTGATGCTACCACTGTTCTGATCACTGCTCTTGCTGGAGACTTTGCGGAAACGGAAACCTTCCTGTACCAAGATCACCACCCCCCGCGATTCCTCACAACAGGCAGAGTGCATTTGGTATTACTCTGCCTGTGACAGGAGTCGGCGCTATAGAGGAAGCATTGGCTTATGCGGCTCTGCTGCCTCCGCTGCTGCCTCGCTTCCTCTAGCGCTGACTTCGTTGGCACTGCTGATTCTCTCACGCCTCTACCCGCGGCTCTTCAAGTTCCCCCTTTTGCCACCACCGGCCATGGGAATGGTTACATCTAGGTCTTATTTTCAGGGTAGGTCTTACATTTCAGCAATTCCCCAAAATAGTACTAGGTCTTATTTTCGGGGTTGGTCTTATTTTCGGGGAAACGCGGTATGATTTTATCATCTGCCTTGAATTCAGAATACATTTTGAGTCAAAATGTAACAAAATTGGTCAAAAGCTGACTTTAAAGTAAAAAAATAAATTAATGTAAGCAAACACTAGGACCATACAGTATCTTTTTTCAGTCAGTACAGGGATTGACAGCTGAAGCCCCCTGAACTTCTCCTTTGTTTGCAGGAAGGATACATAATTACACTCGGGATCTTAGGTGAAAGGGGTTTTATAGAAATGATTCATTTATTTTACTCTGATTACCGGTAGGTAGCATATAAATAGCCCTTCTATCTGTATGGTAATTAGCCGGCGTCGTTTACTCACTGGCTGGACTAGAAATTCACCTGAGCGTGCTGTTTGCTTACAGTATAAAGGACGAAGCCTGTAGCATATTCTCCATTGGCGTCTCCTTATTTGCATTTCGGATTTTATGGCGTTGTCGTCTTATGAAACACCCAGCGCGAGTAGAGCCCCGCTCGCTAGAATACGTTTCTTTAAATATTTGCCTAGATTTAATTTAAACCTCAGGAGTTTGCCGGTTTAGTGGTCCGGAAAGGCTTACATTAAGCTTAGAGTAAACCAACAAAGGAGGAAAAAATATAGGCTGGCTTATTTGAATACTAAGCTCCAGTAGCTTGTAAACGCTGGTCGTACTCCCCGGATATCTACCAGCCTTTCCCACGGGCATAAAAATGTGAAATGAATGATACAATAACTATAACCATTTGGTCTTCTTTCTCTTTCTTTTTCTCTTAATAGAAAGAAAGGTTAGAAGCCTTGTCAAGTTATTAAGGCTGTTTAGGCCTTCATTAGGTACATCCACCCTCTTTATTTTCACTGCTGCTGGATCTCCAGGACAGGAAATAATATGAAGTCTTCCCTAATGGACACCGACTTGCTTTTTTCTTTCCTTTCCTTTTCCCTTTCCTTTCTTTTTTTCATTTCCTCTTTCCCTTTCCTTTCCTGCAGGCACACAGTTGTGAAAGGGATGGTAGAATAACTCCAACCATTTTTTCCTCTCCTTTTTTTCTTTCTCACCTTTCTTCTTTTATTAATTTCCTTTTTTTCCTTTCCTTTCCCTTTTCCTTTTCCCTCTATCCTTCTTTTTTTTCCTTTCCCATTTCCCTCTATCCTTCTTTATTTTTTGTTCCTTTTTCCTTTCCCATTTCCCTTCTCTTTACTTTTGTTTTCCTTGTTCAGTTTATCTTTTCCTTTCCTTTTCCTATTCCTTGTGCTTTTCTTTTCCTTTCCTTTTTAATTTGTCCTTTTCTCTTTCTTTGCTTTTCCTTTCATTTCTTTTTTCCTTTTCTCTTTCCTTTTACCTTTCCTTTCTTTCCCTTTCCTTTAACCTTCCTTTTCCTTTCCTCTTTTATGTTTTTCTTTCCTCTCCTTTCCCTTTGCTTTGTTTTCCCTTTCCTTTTCCTTTCTTTTTCCCTTTCCTTTGCTTACCTTTTTTCTTTTATTATTTTCCTTCCCTGTGCTTCGCCTTTCTGTTTTTACATTGCTTTTCCTTTTTTCCCCCCTTACCTTTCATTTCCTCTTCTTTGCTTTCCTTTGCCTTTCCCCTTCCTTTCTTTTTTCATGTTTTCTTTCTTTCTTTTCCATTCCTTTTCTGTTTTTTTCTCTTTTATCCTTTCTTTTAGCTTTTTCCTTTTTTTTGCTTTCCTTTTTCTTTTTCTTACCTTTACTTTAAAGTAACACTACATTCATGATTTATATCCTAAAAATACATACACGTACCTTAAGTATGAACAACAATGTATCTTATTTGTGTATCACTTGGCTGTAGATCATCCAATCATCTCTGAATTGGTGCTGACACTGTCCTTCCTTCTGAAGGGGGGCTACTTTTGTTCCCCATGGTCCTTGTGTGCGTTGTAAAGTAGTCACCGCTCCAAGCTCGCTCCGGTGATGGACTACGATCCTAATACAAATTAGCTAATTAAACTTGAGATTGTAGTCCATCCCGGGAGTGAGCTTGGAGCGGTGACTACTTTACAACACAAACAGGGACCATGGGGAACAGACGTAGCCCCCCCTCCAGAAGGAAGGACAGTGTCAGCACCAATTCAGAGATGATTGGAGGATCTACAGCCGAGTAATACACAAATAAGATACATTGTTGTTAAAAGGATACCAACTATAGCTCCTCCCATATTTTTCCACTGACAGGTTTTCATTAACATGTACATA